TTTGTGTATAAGAGACAGGGGTGGTGTGGGGGGGGAGGCGGGGGTCGATGATCAGGCAAAGAAGAGCTAGCTCGCAAAATACAGTGAATTTAGGTGATTTTCAACTACTTTGAGCATCATTTTTTGTGGGGGGGGGGAGGAGATGAATATTTTTGGAGGGGCATGCACCCCCTAGATACACCACTGGATAATATAAACTGTTAATGCTCAAATAACGATTTTTTATATATAGAATTATGTACTATCATTAAATGTTTATAATCTATAGAATATTGTTATTAAGTACCGGTACCGCTTAATTAACAGTTACCCATGTCCATACAACACACATGGTCACACGGACAACACACACACACACACATGGTCCTGTGGTTATCTCATAATTATGGTACTAAGTATACTTTTACGCCTTACGGTAAGGCCTAAAAAGTATACATAGAACTACCATAATTAGGCCTAAAAATAATGTTATGTTGGCGTAACCCGACCGACCCTAAAAAATCGGCCAACCCTATTTAAATTTCACAATACAAGTTTACGTGAGCAAAGTGGGCGTTGTCGATCGTCACCCAAAATGTTTCAAACGTAGTCCAAGGGCGAAAAATATGACACTTAGGGACTTTAAAGGCTAATTTAATTGATTTTATAGATTTCAAGGCCTTTGCTGAATAGTTGCGGCAGTGTAAAAAAAAAAAGAGAAAACAATCTCTACCCAACTACTCTATTTTTGGGGGCTTGTGACGCCAACATAACATTATTTGTAGGCCTAATTATGGTAGTACTATGTATACTTTTACTCCTTACGGCAATTATCATACTACGTATAGTTTTACGACTTGCGGTATGTTACTACGTATGCTTTTACGCCTTTGTATAGTTTTACGCCTTATGGTAATTATTGTACTACGTATACTTTTACGCCTTACGGTAATTATGGTGCTACGTATACTTTTACGCCTTATGCCCCTTTCAAGATTATTGCTGCTGTAGAGCACGATTTTTCAATTTTTGAAAGTCACAGTGTTGTCGTACTAAATTTTGTGATCAATCGTAAATTGAATATTATCCACCGTAGCGCATGCACCGTATTGAAACTTGAACTTTGTAACCTCAGAAGGTGTTCGTACTGACCAATTAATGGACGGCATGGTTTCACTCATACTCTTTACCTTTATCTTCGACGTCTACACTGACCCCTAACCTGGATAATAAAAGCTGCAGCAGCCAACAATGTTTTTCTTCTAGAGCAGCAGCTTGCATTTATTGCAGAAATATCAACAACTTGGAGAAATATCAACAACTATGGCGACAACGACAACATTCAAATATTCGGTAATTGCGACTTCTGATTAATTAAATCAAACAAGCGTCTTGTTCAATCGTATTGACGTCGTGCTGCCGTCTTTTAAAATTGTAGTGACGTCGTAATAAAATCTTAACGATGTCCTAATAATTCATCGTAGCACCATCGCACTAAATACATCTTGACGGCATCACAATACGTCTTGACAGGAACGTAAAATTCGATTGACCTTAAACTTTTGAATACAAATTACCGGTACTACGACAGAGCAAGGTTTTCAACTTTCAAAATTCGTGCTCTACCGTAGCGAAAATCGTAACCAGACATGGTTGTTGTAGACTTATATTATGATATTTTGATATCAGGAGTGACACCTGAACGAAATGATGAAGTGATAGGAGGCTACTAAAATTCACAAGGGAATTGACATCATCTATTCAGGTATCATTCTACGTCATATTATACGGTGACGACATTACAATAGTACTGTGAAGGGGCTCTCCTATTTGTATACAAATAATGAATTTGTATAAGTACAATGGAAAGAATATTTTCATAAGTTAGAAGATGGACCGTTCCATTAAACGAGGCAGATTGAATGAAAATATTTTTTCCATTACACAAATACAAAACATTCATTATTCGTTTTAAAACACACCTAAAAAGATCCTTGTCATTTAATATTTTATGAAACAAATGTTAGGTTTACGTCATACTTTCGAAAGGGACATTTACTGAGCTTTAATAATATAAACTGTAACCATGAATTAAGTCTATTTATTAAATTTTATTAAAATCAATACAAAATCTAAAGCATGCCAGACAGCAATTCAGTCCCACTAGAAGTAAACGAGGTAGACCAGCTCCTATAGGAGAATCAGGATCTAAAACCCGAACGAAAAATGGAAAGGTGGAATACATGGAGTAAACAAAATACACTACCAAATAAATCCCAGCTGAAACAGATGATGATCGCCCCAATTAAGCATAGAATGAAAGAAACACTTAACCACTTGTGTATGTTCAATAAAAATTCTACAAAACAAATCGAAGGGGGCGCTATTAGAGTTTGACTGGCAGGAGAAGTCAACACCATTCATGTCCTGGAGAGAAAACACACACTGTAATATAATATACTAGATATTTAGACGATATTACTTTCTTTTTTGAAATTGGTCAACCCCAACCTAGAAAACATCATGAACAAACTACAACCCAAAGCCAAGTTCTCCGAAAATTCATCGTAAGAATTGCTTTCTTTTATCCCCCACTTTTAAGGGCCTAGGTTATTAATAAATACTAATGATAATCGGATTTGTAACTATTTTAAGAGCAGCATGCTCGGTTTCAACAAATGTTCTAAACTAATCAAGAGAATTGGTGGCACGTAAAATTAAACAATTGCAGTGTCGGATCTAGGATTTTCACAGGTGAAGGATGTAGACCACCTCAGCCCCACCATGGTTGAGGCTGAGGTAAGAAAATATATGATTATAACACCTCTACATGGCACTCTCAGACTTCAGGCCCGTACGCAGGGAGGCGAGTGCAACGGGTTCGTACGCACCCCATCCCCTCCCCCAGCCGTTTCGCCCTGCCCCCCAATTTTTTTTCAATACTTTAAAAAAAAATGGGGGGAAAATCATAT